AACAAGCCAATCGAGCAGAAGGAGGAGGCGGTGTCAATGACAACTCCAGCATCCCAAAGCGGGGGCAAGGCCCACTCTGCCCTGACACAGGTGTCGCCTCCATCTCCCACCTCTCCTGCGAACAGACTCGCCATGGAAGCTGCCCCAGCTGACATAGGGTCAGCGAATCCGCAGCGGGAGCCACCACGAGCATCTACCGAGCTCCCAGGCATCTGGGGAGAACCTCCCGCCCGCCCTGCGGAGGACCAGGACCCATCGCAGAAAATTTCTGCCCAACGCCAGCCCCAGCCCCAGCCCATGCAGGCTCCCTTTGACCCACCGGAATCAGCGCCTCCTTTTCACACAGTCATGAAGGAAGCTCAGGTCTACGACCCGAACGCCAGATTCCGAGCGATGGCAGCCTCAGGAGGCAGCGATATACCCTTCGACACCAAGGGCCACATGCTTCAGTCTGGAGATGCTTTTGTGGCTCGAGATCTAGCAAGGACTCCCAAACCAGGATCTCGAAAAACCACCATCGAGGATTGGTCTCGAAGCCTTCACACTGCCGCGGACCTCCTGCGTGGAGTCGCAGGCCTACCCAGATCGCTTCCTGGAAGAGTGCCCATTCCCGAGACCCCCACCGCCCTAACGCAGCTGGGACAATGTCCGCCAATGTCATCCTGATGGCGACAATGTCGTGCTAGAGCTGTATCGGCCGGTATTCAACTCTTTCTCTTTTTCTCCACGAGCCTGTCGGCTCACACGCCGCCGTTAATCAACACGGCTCTTTTCTTTTCAGACGGCGCTGCCACACATGATGCAGTTCGGATTGAAACAGCGTGTCGGTTTGAGTGTGCTGCTTTAGCCATCAGTGCAGAATCAGCTGGGATCTGACACCGGATACTAGGCTGCCACCCTCTAATACCACCATTCCTGATCACACTTGTCGGCTCTCAGACCCAGATCGCTGGTCTGGACGGCCCAGGCCCGCCATCTCCAAACAGCTGCCCCTAGCGATGTGGAGGCTCCGTAGCAGCTCGGGATGTATCCCCATGGACCTGGACGAGTCTGACGAGGAGGTCCCTGAACCGGCACGAAAGTGCCGGGCGCATGCATGTGCGTATGTAGGTATGAGTGTCTGCACGCAGGTAGGTATGCATGTTTGTGTATGAATTCAGGTATCTATACATTCATGTGTGCATGAAGTCTAGGTTGTTGACCTTTGCTTAGGTGGGCCTTCGACCTGTTTGAGGCTCGGCGGCTACATGCATATTCTCGTGCAGTGCGGCGATGTCTTCTATGCTCGCCTCTTTCGGGACATAGTCGGCCGTTGTGAGCAGCAACACGGCAGCAGCAGAAGCAAAAGCAAAAGCACCACTCCAACCCCCTGCGCTTGCATCCTAGCCTGTGCAAGACGCTCACCCGCACATCGCATCGGCAGCACCAGCCTGCACTCACACCCAGCACCACCAGCACCGGCACCGGCGCTTCACTGGCACTTCGCTAGCACCCGGACCGGCCAGAATCATACTTAATTACAAGCCGATTCCGTAACAACAGCACCAATGATATGAATCACGAAGAAAGCAACCGTATCAATAACAAGAAGAACAACGGCAGCACCACCGCCACGACCAACAAACACAGCAACAGCAAGAGGAACCGGCACCAGCACAGCATCGTCGACAGCAAGTTGCGTTCCAATACCAGCACTAGTGGTACTGGCAGCACTGCGACAGGCTTCAGAACGGTTCCTGTGTTTACTCAGGGTTGTTTCGGACATACTCATCCCCGCGGCCCCGCTTGGGTTCAAGCATACACCACGCAACAGCAGCTAGCTTTTCTAAAAACTTTAGCTTCAGCTTTCCACTTTTCAGCTTTGCTTTGCTCATGCTTTTAGCTGTCAGGACTACTTTTCAGCAGCTTTAAGCTAAGTACGTTCAGCCAGCCCTGTGCATGGATAGCCAGCCGGCCGCTTTTCGCCCCCAGCTGCAGCTACAACTGACTACAGAGGTCAGATCACTGATCGATAGGCTTATTGACTTGGAGGCTGCGGGGGCTGCTCAGCGAGCGGAAATTTCCCGCTTGCACTGCAGGGTCAACCGGCTGGAGGCCCAGGTACATCAAGGCCGCAACTGGCTCCTGCACCTGGCAGACAGGGCCACTTCCTTGGAGGAGGTCACACAGAAGCTTTCTATCAGGTTGCGAGCCCTGGTTACCCTGCTTCGTGACACGCTTTCTGAGACTGTTGCCCGTCTTCGGATTTGGTTCTAAGCATGGCCTCTTCTGACATGGTCGGTGGTGATGCACCTGCTTTGCCGTCTAGCAGGGTGGCTACGGATATACTTTTGGCCGATGCTTCGCCTTTCTGCACTGATGCTGACGCTTTGGAACTCAGGGCCTCTTTTCGTAATCGCTTTGCTGATTTTGCGGACCCGGAGGACCCTACTCAAGTACCCTCAGCCTCGGTACCCACTTTTGAGGTTGCTGAGTCAGATGCAGAGGAAGCTTTCGAACCCAGGAGTAAGCTTCGACGCCGCTGGCTTCACCAAGCACATTGTGCCCCGGTGACTCCTCCCTTACCTATGGAAAACAGCCCAGGTGCATCCAGCGGTGATCAATCCTGGCAGCTTATAGAGCAAAACCTGCCGGTGCCCGAGAATGCATCCTTTCAGGAGGGGTCTTCAGCAACTTCGACATTTTTGCTTATGCCATTGCAATCCACCCCTCCTCGACCCAGCTTGCCTGCTACTCCGAAGGCACCCACTTGGCGGGCTCCCAGAGTGTGCTTACGATACAACTCCCCTTTTCAGGTGGGGCACAACGGGCGCCAGCCTACAGTTGCTCGGCTCCGCCCCTGCGCTCCCTTCCCCACTCCGCGGCAAGCCCCTAAAGCCGCGCCTGTGCAGCAGTCTACACCCCAGATCTTCCCGACGGCGAAGGCACTGCCGCACTTTCAGGACGCTTCGGCTTACGCGGTCTATCCCATGCAGCAGCCTTCTCCTGTTCAGGTATCGCTTTCGCTGGCAACGCCGAGACCGGTTCAGCCCTCAACAACAGCTTTGAGAGCGCCTTCAGAGTCACACCCGCCTGCTTTTCGCGAGCCAATCGCCGGCTTGGTCACCAGCAAGGATAACCATCAGGCGTGCGACGAACGCAACAAGGTACTTTTTGACCAGCTTTGTGCATCGCATGGCCCCTACAGCGAGGTGCTGCAACAGCTTTCAGGGAGTCGCGAGGGAACATTGATCAAGTCTCGGCTTCTCAGCAAGGTGAGTGACACCACGGCTGCCCGCTACCTTCGTTCAGTCCAGCTTTTCTTTTGTGCCTTTGAGGAGCTGGGCGGCAACATGGAGTCTATCGACCAAGGTCTATTCCTTGATGCTTTCTTCGCTTTATCTCGAGGCTCCGAAACAGGCCCACTTTCTAACAGCATCAATGTGCTCAAGGCGCTGCGCTGGTACAAGAAGCTTCTTTCACTTGCATGCCTCCCAGACCTGTACGGCACTGCTTTCAGTCTCCTCTCCAATCCGTCTGGCCAGGAGAAACGAGAGAGCATACCACTGCCGCTTTCTTTTGTGGCCTTCCTTGAGCGCACCCTGCTTTCAGGCACAGCCAGCTTGATGGACACCATCTGGGCGGGGTCGTTCTTGGTGGCAATCGGTGCTAGCCTCCGCTTCGCAGACGCCCAGCATGTCCGCTGGAGCTCACTTTGTGTGAGCCATTTCACTTTACGAGGAATATGCTACAGGACCAAGACCACCAAAGGCGGATGCCCCTTTGGTCTCCTCAGCTTTGGCCCCTTTTCGTCATCTGAGGAATGGGGGCTGACTTGGCTCCCCCGCTGGTTGGGAGCATTAGACAAGGTTTGGTCCGACCTCCGCTCTCGCTTTGGGGCCCAGCCTGAGCCAGATTGCATGTTTTTCCTCTTAAGTGATGCAGGCTTTGCTCCGGCCACTTATTCACAGGCCCTTCAGAAGTTGCGCTACTGGCTGACGCTTTCAGGGATAGAGCCGCATCAAGCTTCCCAATATACGCTTCACAGTTTGAAGACTACCTTCCTTTCGTGGATGTCTCAGCTCTCTATCCCACTGGCGTCCCGCTTTCTCCAGGGACATCATAAAACCCCTGGCTCTGCCCAGCTGTACTCTCGGGACGACGTATGGCCAGCCCTAAGAGCGCAGCTTCTTTTGTGGCGGTCGATCCACGCCGGCTTCCGTCCTGCCAGGCCGCAACACCGAGGGGGACAATCACCGCTTGCCGAGCCCCCTTTCGAGACGGCGGGGTTCCAATGGGACGCCTTCATCCCGGAACTTACATGTTTCTCGCTTGGCAGTGACTTCCAATCATTCCTGGCCCTGGAACAACAGGACGGCGAACTCCGCGAAGCCCGAGAGTCATGCTCCACGATTACACGGTCAGGCCCCAAACTTCCCTCTTGTGTTCGCGCCCGGGCGCAGGTCGACCACTTCGAGGACTCAGATGCCGATGATGCAGGCCCGGCTCGCCCTGCAGCGATGGTCGCATCCACTTTGGAGGTCGACCCCACATGGCAAGATGAAACAAGTGAGGGGCTTAGTGTGTCACATGAGGAGCAGCCGCTTGAAGCTCCATCTTTTCAAACTTCCCGCACAAACTGCAGGGAGGTGCGGTATCTGCTAGGAGCATCCGGGGTGGCCCACCTCAGCATCTCCCACCCCGGCTCCCGTATGACCTGCTTGGCGTGCAAGGATGCCCAATGCCAGGTTCGATGTCACCCCGCTTGTGGCTGCATCTCAGACTTTTCCGCTTTTGTGCATTTTCCGCCTGAATCTCGCTTATGTAAGCGGCGGGCATGCATCATAGCATCTTTGGAGGAAGCGTGAGCATCTTCTGCGAAATATAGCGTTCCATGTTGCACCTCTGGTTCATGACATTGTGCCACAGCTTGTCTTTCGCGCTTGTGAAATGTTGTTCTATAAGCTCTTGCTCGAGATCAGCTTATGAAACATAATCCCGCTTTACTTCCAGCGTGGGTCATGGCCAAGTTGTCCCCCGACTACGTGTTCAGCCTCCTCAAAAGCATGAACGAGGCTGAGAGGGCCCACTTTTTGAAGCGAATGGAAGGAGACCCGCTTCTTCCTTCCACAACGCCGGCACCCGCTTTGGCAGCAGCACCTTCGGAGCAACCTGCTTCGAGCACCGTGATCGACCCCATCGGGGACTCCATCGCTGCCGAAGATTACGGACCACCGGCCGCTTCAAAGTCTTCCCCCTCGCCTCCTGCACCCACTTTGGAGGCACCAGCGGAGCCGGAGCCTAAGGCAGCTACCGGTGGCCAGAGCGCCCCCACGGAAGCCACTTCAGCGGCTCAGGGCGACGGGGCCAAAGCCGATGCCACGGGGGACGGGGTCACGAACGCCAAACGCTGGCAACGTGAACCCGAGGTCAAGGAACCGCCGCCGCGACCTCCTTCGTCACCCGCTTTGGCATCGCAAACCCCAAAAGCTGGGGTACCGCTGCTGAAGTCGAAGAGCATGGCCACTCCCACTCCACCCGCTTCGGTGACTACTAGGCTACGCCCAGCGCCCCTCCCGCTTCCAAGGCCCCGCCACCGCCGCTTGTGGAGGAGGGCACCACGGGGGGAAGCTCGGGCAACACAGGGCAACAGCCGCCCACTTCAACGCCGCAGCGCGAGATTGCCCCGCTTCTCGCTAGTGACGCTCCAGCCTCCCGCTTGGGGCACACTATCTATGATAGCGAAGGCCGGGCCACTTTGCAGCTGGTTCAATTGTGGGCATGTCGCCGCCAGTGTTCCCAATGCGCTCAGGGACACTGTCAGGCGACATTCAGCGACAGATCCAACAGCTTCCACGTGAACCACTTATGCAGAGACTGCAAACGCGCTCGTGGGCGTGAGCGCCAGGAGGCCACTTCACAGTGGAACCATGGCCAAGACGAGTGGGGCCAGAGCCAGACCGCTTGGGAGGAGTCGCCCGCTTGGAGCTCATGGAACTGGTCTGGACGGGCATGGCAGCACCAGTGAAGTCCACGCTGCCCCCCACTTTTCAAGCTTCGGCATTGAATCGCCCACTTTTGGGTCGACCCAATTTGTACACGGGCGACCCCGCTGGGCTTGTGAGCCCGCTGGAGCTCGGCTTTCGTAAGCCAGTCATCTCGAGCACCGCTTCCCGCTTGGAAAATAGGCGGCAAGCTCCGACAGCTGCATCGAAGTGTGCATCCGCTTGTGATTCGCTGAGAAACATGACATCATTTATCTCCCCCGCTTGGGTCAAGCGCAGCCCTTTCCCGCTCGGGCGCCTCTCTCGCTGCCACGCCACAGGCCACAGGTACACACTTGCAGTCTCTAATTTTTGTTGTGTGCCTCGCAGGACGATCATCTCCGCGGTCCACGCCTCAGACTTCTTCACATCCCGCTTTACATTAGCCGTGCATCCCGCTCAGGCCCCCCTCGACATGTCCGACTTCTCGCAGTTCGTGTCGGATTGCAACGTACCTGCCGCGGTGGCCTCTCTGCTTTCGGAGTTCGACACCGCTTTGTACGCACGTGCTTGCACAACTCCTTCCGAGCTAGAGGAACTGATCACCCACTTCATGACTGAAGCCGCGGTGACAGAAGCAGCGGAACGCTTTATCACGAAAGCATCGCTACGCCTGCTTTTCTCCAAATGCAGGCAGTCGGAAGGCATGGCTTCCTTGGAGGCCACGCCCAGCTCTTCTCTCCCGCTTGGAGAAGCGCCTTCAACAGCTGTGCCACCCGCTCCGGCAGCAGTTCCGCTCTCTAGCTCATGGCAGGAGGCTTGGCCGGCAAAACTCAGCGGCGAACGCACTGCAGCGCTCAGGAAAAGGTTCGAGGAGGATTACCCCACTGAACTCCTCGACGCCGAGAGCTTTCCGAGCGCCCGCTTGTTGGCCCTCACCAATAAGATGCTTTCAGAAAAGGAAGTGCGATGGATTCCCTGGAAGTACCGCTTAAGTGCAAGGGCGCAAGAAGACAGCCTGCTTATCAGGCCCAAGAAACAGGCCCGCTTTGACATCGCGGAGTTCTTCTTCGACGAGGCCCCAACCAGGGATATACATGAAGGCCCCGCTTCATTCAGCTTCGTGACACAGCTTCTCTCACTTGCTGCGAATGCGATCGCTTTATGCCAGGGGGCCCACCTAGGCTCCCTGAAACTCTACAACAAAAAGTTCACCCGCATTTGCTTCACCAAATACGAAGCCTCCGCCAACCTACGGGGCCCCACTACGATGGAAGCCCAGGCAGCTGATCGCCGATGTTGGGAAATCATCGCCGACTTAGTCAATGTGCATCATTGGAAGCTAGATGACGCGCTTCACGAAGTGGCGGAGGTGCGCTCTGATCTGCACAGCTTACTTGCGCCCAGGCCCTTCGTGCCCAAACCCAAGCACGACCCGGACAACAGCTGGAAGACCGGTGCCAAAGGCAACGGTCGTGGAGGCAAAGGCGGGGGCCGGGGCGGCAAGGGCCGCGATGGCAAAGGCGAAAAGGGAGAGCGCTTTGAGCGAGGCGGCAAAGGTGGCAAAGGTAAGGACAACAAGCAGGCGACGCCTCCCGGGAAATGGCTTTCCACCATCTTCATGGATGGCAAGCGCCAGACTCTTTGCATGCGCTACCAGAGCGGTCAGTGCAAGGACCCAGCCACGTGCCGCTATGTGCACAGATGCGCAGTGCCCAAGAGTGACGGCACCGCTTGCGGAGGTAATCACCCAGCTTCTCAGCATGTGGCTACCCCGCACTAGGAAACCCACTTCAGCGACCAGCGGGACATCGCTGAGGAGGTCATAGTTGTCCCGCTTTCAGTGCCTGCTCAACCTTCAGGTTCAGCAGGGGCAACATCGGCACTGCCAAGGCTGGTGCCCCAGTATCCAGTGCATCTTTGGCGATCAGTGAAGGCTCCCTCGACTTCGCTACCTGCTTGGAGCTTTTAGCGCAGTACTTTTCCCTCCCCTTCATTGATGCCGCAGGCCCCACCGACAATGCCATTGACGCTTCCGGAGCATATTTCAACCTGGGAGCTTTCTCCTTTGATAACGGCACCAGGTCGGGGATATTTCAGCGCACTGAACAATTTTCCGATGTACTTCGTTTCTTGAACGCTTTCATGCAGCTTCAGTTCCCGGGTGCCTCTTGGAGCTCCTTGTGCGTGAGCCACAACGTTCGTACTCGCTTACACACGGATGCTGGCAACGCTTCAGGCACACTCAATCACACAGTTTCACTCGGCAATTTCAGCGGAGGTGAGATCTGGATTAGCCCAGCTTTGGATCCCTCTGCGGCCAACATCCCGGCCCCACTGGAGGCCTCATCCGAGGCCCACAGAGCAGAAGATGCAAGCAAAGGTGAATTGCGCGACACCTGGCATTCACCGCTTTCCTTCAGCTGTGAATCCCTCCATTGTACGATGCCAATCCAAGGAGACAGGTGGGTATTGACTGCCTACACTTGCAGGAACCTACACAGCTTCGACATGAAGTCGCTTGCACATTTAAAGTCACTGGGATTCCCATTGCCTACAGTTCCTACAGCACTTCCTCAGGCTTTACCCTCTGCACCGAAGGACAATACGCACGTCGAGATCTTCCTAGATATCTGCTGTGGTGCCTCTCACCCACTTACCACAGCTATCTCATCATGTGGCATCATGTGTTTGCCCATTGACCTGCTTGGTGAGGAGCAGCTGGATCTCTTGCACGACGACACGTACGACCACCTTCTTCGGTTATGCTTCTCAGGCATTGTACGTTTTGCTCATGGATCCCCGCCATGCAAAGAATACTCCCGCTTGAAGCTACGCCCCGGGGGACCGGCCGCTATCCGATCCCCAGAACATCTCAACGGATTGCCAGGCAATACAGCTTCACAGCAGGAACGCGTGCTAAACAGCCAGAAGCTTCTCTATCGCTGTGTATGCCTGCTTCGAGCCGCTTTCAACTCAGGTGCACATGTATCTCTGGAACAGCCCACGAACGCGATGTCTTGGCTTGAACCATTCGTACAGGACATGCTTGCTGAGATACAGGCTTCACTGGTCAACATCCCGGCGTGCTCAGTTGGCCAGAATATAGCCAAATCTTGGCTTTTCGCATGCAGCTTCGATGATATGCAAGCCCTGGCAGGTACATGCTCTCATTCGGAGGGTCATCCTTCTGTGGCCGGCGTCCGGGACGAGCTTGGCAACTTTTTGTCACAGCGCACCGCAGAGTACCCAGCTGAGTTAGCAAACAGCTTTGCTCAGCAGGCGGCTAAACTTTTCTCATCATGCCGGCCCTCCCATAGCGTTCCCACTTGCTCTTTGGCGTTCGCACTCGCTTCGATCCCCAAGAAGCCCCGTGCAGCTACAACCACAGCTTCACAGGATGGAGGTGGCATCTACTCCCTGCCGGACTGGTCAATGGGCCCCAGATACCAATCTGACAGCTTACATGACTTGCGCAAAGAATGGCAGTCTTGGCTCCTCTCGCACAGGATACCACTTCGCCTTCAGCAACATGTCGCAGCTGGCAGTAACAGCCCACTTTTCTCGGAAGAGGAAACATCGTGGCTGCGTGGATCCTTTAAACGCTTTTCTGACGCCCACTCCCCAGCTCGGGATTGGGACTTCTCTGTTCAGGAGGGTCAACCATACTGCTTATCTGCACTTGAGCGCTTGAGCACCCTCTTGGGGGATAAAGACACAACTTTATTTCCCGCTTTGCAGAAGGGGGTCCCAACTGGCTTTGATGGGGACATCCCTCGCAGCCACACCCTTCGTCCCCGCAGTGCAGAGGAAACTGAAAGCGCCGCAGACTTGCTTATCTGCGAAGGCAACTGGCAGGGAGCCGAGGCAGACCCGGCCTTGCTTCAGGAGCTTATTGAAGAAGAGGTATCCTCCGGCTACATCGAGGAAATGGACAGTCTGGAGGCCGCTTACGAAAGGTGGGGAAAAGATCGTGTTGCAGTTGGTAAGGTCAACATCGTTAAAGCTCCAGGCCGTGCTCCCCGCTTGGTGATCGATAACAGCATTTGCAACACGAACCAAAACTGCAACGTTCCCGAGCAGTTCTCCCTGCCGAGCCTCCAGGACATCCAAGCCGCTTTCCCGACGAGAGAGGACGAGGAACCCGCTTCAGGCTTCAGCTTAGATGTCAAGGGAGCGCACAAAACCTCACTTGTGCGGGAGCAAGACAGAGGCCTGCTTGGCCTCAGACAGCAGGACCGCCTCTTCTTTTACCGTGTCTGTCCGTTCGGGGCCACCTTTTCCAGCCACTGGTTTGCCCGCTTGGGAGGCTTCTTTGTGCGATGCTTACATCTACTTATCTGGCTGGCCCACGTCCTGCTGTTGTACGTAGATGATCTGCTTCTTTGGCAAAACGCCCGTGCACTTCCACTCAGCGCTTCTTTGGTCCTAGCGTTCTGTTCATGCTTCAACATACCGCTTAGCTGGCGCAAACTGCAAATGGGCCCATCTATAACCTGGATAGGGTGGCAGCTCGATTTCCACGCTGGCTGTTTTACACTGCCCGAGATAAAGCGCTTAAAGCTGCTTTCGCAGGTGGAGGACTGTCTGAGGCACCGGCTCGTCACCCGCAAACAACTGGACAAACTCCTTGGCCTACTCCAGTGGATCTTGCACGGGCTTCCTGCTTTGCGCCCATGGCTTTGCACACTGTATGACGACATGCACAGACCACTTGGTACAAATGTAAGCATCAGCCCTTGCTCCTGGCCAGGTATTCACACATACTTGGACGACAAGCTGCGCTTTACTGGGACACCGCCGGGCACTAGCATTTCTGAAGGGTCCACTTTGCTTTCTGCTCGGCACAAAACCCTACATAGCAAGCAGGACCTCGCTTTAGTTCCTGTAAGCACCAAGCGCATGTGGCTTCGTGTTACAGACCCCACTTCTTCGAAGCGACGCCTTTCGGAGGCCAGCCGAGAAACACTTTCCTGCTTTGCCCACTTGAGCTCCAGGGAATGGCGCCCTCGACCGCTTAGACCACCACCTACCAGCTCGGTGGAGTCAGCAGCTGACGCTTTTGGCAAAGGCAACAACTGTGGCGTTGGCGGTTGGCTACGTCTACCATGTGGAAGACTGCTTTGGTTTTCTCACCGATACACTGTCCAGGACTTCCTAGAGCTTGGCCTGCCAATGCAACCCGATGCCAACCTGGACATCTCCAGCTACGAGACGCTTGCACAATGCTACGTGCTTCTTGCTTTCTGGAAAGCCCATGGTTCAGGTCGCTTGGCTCTCACATTACCAGCTTTGAGCGATAATAGTGGTGCTGAGTCGGTGTGTAACAAGCTTTACACTTCTAAAGTACCACTTAATCTTTTCGTTCGCAAGCTTTCAATGTGGAGCTCCATAACCGGTGTCACTTTGGACTGCAGCCATATCGCTGGCGAAAAGAACGATGACGCAGATCTTCTTTCTCGGTGGGACGGCTCCGCAGAACTCCCGGCCAAGTTTCTGCCTTCCAACCGCATCGAGCTGTACCTGTCTGAGTTCTGGCAGATCCGCTTTCAAGTGAAGCTTTTTCCCTCCGACACATTTTTAAAGTGGCAGCTTCCTTCGGCCACCAGGTTGGGCCCGACAAACCGCGGCTCAACGAAGCGCAAATAGCTTCCTCACCTCACTTTTCTGCTTGGGACTTCACTGCGTTTGCGAGGTTTCGGCTTGCCAGTTTCAAACCCGGGCTTTTGCGACTGCTCCGTTGCTTTAGCTTCTTACACCCGGATGGATCAAAGATTCGTCCGAGGAACACTTTCGCTACCGAGCAGTCGCTGCACCGGCAAGCCGAAAAAAGGAGAGAGGGACGTCGAACTTTGTTGCACACTTTTGCTTGCTTCTTTCGCTTAGCCCTCTCCTCGCAGTAGCCTTTTGGTGTTGCGTGGTGTAGTACTGTCCTGAACGGTTCCTGTGTTTACTCAGGGTTGTTTCGGACATACTCATCCCCGCGGCCCCGCTTGGGTTCAAGCATACACCACGCAACAGCAGCTAGCTTTTCTAAAAACTTTCCCACCCGCCCACACCTTTGGGCACGCTTTCAACGCAGCATGGAGCTTTTCAGTCTCAGCCCGCTGGTCAAGCTTTGATCGCTTTATTGCTTTCGCTGTTCTTTTGCTTTTTCTATCGCTTGACAGTGCTTACATACCGATACGGGCTTTTGCGACTGCTCCGTTGCTTTAGCTTCTTACACCCGGATGGATCAAAGATTCGTCCGAGGAACACTTTCGCTACCGAGCAGTCGCTGCACCGGCAAGCCGAAAAAAGGAGAGAGGGACGTCGAACTTTGTTGCACACTTTTGCTTGCTTCTTTCGCTTAGCCCTCTCCTCGCAGTAGCCTTTTGGTGTTGCGTGGTGTAGTACTGTCCTGAACCAGTATTAGTAAGATGCTGCAGCGATGTCAGAATGATTGCGGCTGACCGACGATTCCGACCCCTGCGCATGGACCACGGTAGGATAGTGAGGCTGATGGTGACGATAATGATGGTGCTGATGGTGACGAACGATGACGATATCGGGGATGTTGTTGATGATGACGGCGATGATGTTGTTGTCAATGGTCACTGTCGCGATGATCATGATCATCCAGGAGACCAGAACTATGCAGAGAGTGGAACTGGGATGAAGACGCTTCGGTGAGCTTGTTCATCATCTTCGTCACATACTCATGATCATCAAGAGCAGCATCGAAGACCATGACAGCATCATCATTGTCATCATCTTCGGCATCATCATCATCATCAGCATCATTGTCATCATCCTCATCATCACCACCATCATCATCAGCATCATTGTCGTCACCATCATCATTGACGGACCTGAAGAGTAGCAGCCTCAAACTTTGGGTTTCTTTGAGGTCTTTGGGGGGTTCATGTCGGGATTGTTGATAGGCCTTAACAGCCTTAACACTTGGAATATGGCTTCGGGAGTGCATTGAGGTACCTATTGTATTCAGGAGGCCTGAGGCATGATATAAGTATGTAATCCATGCAGACCCCTGGTTAACAACCTCACCTTTTTTGGAAACTATGGTATCCTTTCTAGGGAGAGGGATTTGTGTCCTCAGAGGTGTACATTGCACAGAAACTGAGGTACTAACACACCTTTCTCAAGGATCCCTGCCAGCGTTTAGGGCAGACAGTAGCTTATGAGGTTTTTCGGTGTCGGTGCGGTGGCGAAAAAATGTGCCTTGGCAGACCTGCAGGAGAACCTGGATCGCTTGCAGAAGCAGTTTGAAGAGTTGGAGGTTTGGGATCACGCGCGAGGCTTGCCGTGTCCGGCTTTGGCCATGTACGTTGGGTAGCAATGCACTCCAGAATTTCTTCAGAATCTTAGGATTTAGGATTTAGGGTTTGGTGTTGAGGGAACCGGCTTTCCGAAGCTTAGGGTTTAGGATTTTGGTCTGAGGGCGTTCAGAAGTTTAGGGCTTAGGGAACGAGCGTTAAGAATCTGAGAGGTTAGGTCTGAAGGTCGCGTCTAGGTGTAGGCGTACCTGCACCCCAAAAGTATGTATAATGATGGCCTTCTATAGATTTTGGGCCATTATTTTACATACTTTTGAGGGTCTAGGTAGGGTTTAGGGGCCTCCAGGACTACTCCAGCCACCTTATCAAAGCAAGCTGGGACGCACTCATCAAGCGGTTGATGCACCCCGGCGGCAACTCCGAAGCTGCAACGGGACCTTCCGATCGGTCTGCAGGGTTCATGGGTCCGGCTTTACTGTAGTGACCCGACTCGAGAATGCGGGGGGTTACGGGGCAGTTGTGGTGTATTGATTCGGACTGATGATTTACATGTAGAGCTCATGACAAACACCATAACATCCTGCATTCAGACCCCATGCTCAGTTCCTAGAAAAACCCCGCAACGAACACTATAACATCCCGTACTCAGAGCCCTTAACTTAGCTCTGTGACACCCCTACAACAGCCACTACAGCATCCTTTCTTCATATGGGTGGTTGTCAAAATTGTGGTCCCTTTTGGGGTCCCTATTATAGTACGGCACCTATTATTTGGGGTACCCGGGGTTTGGTTTTTGAGGAGCTTTGAACCCAAGAACCGTGACACCCGACTGCCGGAACCCTCCGAACACCTCCCCCAGACCCGAACCCTACACCCCAAATCCCAAGCCCGCCAAGCCCCTGCGCGCTAAATAAGCCCCAAACCCAGTCCACAACTCCAATTCTCCCAACTCTAAACGCTGAGCCCGAAACCCCAGTCTTATATGAGCAGGCTTTTGACTCTGCTGTAGTGGAGAAAGAAGTTATTGCACTTAAAAAAACCCCCAACTTCCAAACCTACAGCCACAGCCCTGACGCAAAAAGAGCCCAGGCGCCCGGCCGCGGCCGCAACCCGGATCTGGAGGTTTTTAGCCCAAGGGTTTAGGTTACTTTAGCTTGAAGCTTTCGGGGTTTAGGGTTCTTGGTTCAGGGTTTAGGGTTATGAGTTTAGGCGGCGGTTGTCGCGGATCGATCAGGTAGCAGAGATGGTCTTGAGAGCTGCTTGGCCTGGTGTAGGCTTTTGGGGTTGAGCAGGTTTTTGAGAAGGGTTTGGGGTTCTGGGGCTAGGTGGCAACCAAGAAAGATAGACGGGCTCGCTGACCCGCCACTGGTCAAGACAGTGCAGTGGCTCGCGTCGCTCTATTGTGCCCTGTAGCAATAACAACAGCCCCGCAATTAATTAACTGTGTTTTATTCCACAATCCAAAACCCCCGAAAGCTTGATGCCTTAAACCCTGAAGCCCTAGAGCCCTACACCCTAGTTGGGGTTCACCACCGAAGTCGCCGTGATGCTAGGCCTGACGCTGCCGGCAGTGGTCGCGGCAGTAGTGGTCGTGGTGGTGGTGATGGCAATAGTGGTGGTGGTGGTGGTGGTGGTGGTATGGTGGTATGGTAGCAGAGCAGCAGAAGAAAAGTAGTAGTAGTAGTAGTAGTAGTAGTAGTAGTAGTAGTAGTAGTAGTAGTAGTAGTAGTAGTAGTAGTAGTAGTAGTAGTAGTAGCAGTAGCAGTAGCAGTAGCAGTAGCAGTAGCAGTAGCAGTAGCAGTAGCAGCAGCAAGGTGTGGTCGTAGTCGTCGTCGCGCAGTAGCAGCGAGCAGGAGCGGGAGCAGGACCAGCAGCAGGAGCAGCAGCGGCAGCAGCAGCAGCCGCAGCAGCCGCAGCAGTAGCAGCATCAGTAGCCGTTGTGGCAGCTTAGTCGCAGTAGTTTCTGTTGTGACGATGATGGTAGCTGTTGTAGTGGCGGCGGCTGTGCCAGTGGTCGTGGTGGTAGCAGTGGTACGCAGCAGTCTTTGTAGGGGTGCAGGCATAGCAGGGATTAGCAGGGCAGAAGTAACAGCAGGTGAAGCCTTGCTGTCAGTAGCATGTTCATCGAAAAAACTCCTCCAGCGAAAACTTCATGCACATCCATGTGCACAGGCGGAAAAGCTGACCGGCGTTCCTCTTGCCCGCAACTACAGCGAGCACGACGACAGGTGCCTGAAATGCGACTTTGCCCGACCCAATAAGCAATTGAACCCGGACAGGTGAAGCCTGAACCTCTTGGACCCAAACAAAGCTGTGTGGTTGCAGCATACGAAATTCTGAATCCTTTTTGGGCCTCGAGTCTCAGTCCCAACTCAAGTGGCTATTCAGAGTCACCAATGCTCCGATCAGAGCCCTGAAATCCATCATCCTGCAAGCAGATCCAGGCTACTGCTACTACTACTTCCACTACTGCCACTAATGCTACTACTACTAGTACTACTATAGTTACTAGTACTATAGCTGCTGCTGCTACAACAACAACTACTACTACTACTACGACGACTACTACTGCTACTTCTACCACCACTGCTACTACTGCTGCTGCTGCTGCTTACCACCAATACTGCTACTACAGCTACTATGACCTGAAGCGCTACTAATCTTATGTAGTACATTGCAACACGTACTGGCAGAACTCCGGGTTCCTCCTTGGCCTTTGCAGGCGGAATGAAGCCGCTCCGGCTGTCAGGCGGCACTTTTTTGAGATACGGCGGGAGTTTGCAAGCATTTTCGCGGATTGGACGCAGGGGTTCGAGATGACAAGCATTGCTGGGTTTCAGAAAGCAGGCTGATTGAATCGGGACTGAAGGGACCAGCTGCTTCCAGCTCAGATATGCTGCCTACTGCGATTCCTCCAGCTTGAAGTTTGTTGCATTGATTTGATGCTACATGAGATCGGCAGGAGCCCTCGAATCGTTAGTGCTAAGCCATCCTAACCGAATCAAAATTGAACCCGGGTAGAAATTCAGAACCTGGGGCTGTTGAGGCGTGGAGGCTCGCCAGGCGGCAAGTGGAAGAATGACATGCGTTGGCCTTGGAGACTAATCCATCAACTGCAAATGTTATGCATGTATGGTATGTCAAGTCATCGGCAGGTCATATCAAGTCATGTTGTGTTATGCTATGCTATGTATGCTAAGTTAGGGTATGTTCTGGTATGTTCGGATGTAATATTATGTTGTGGGATGTGATGTAGTGTGACGTGTTATTATGTTCTGCTATGTGTTGTTATGTGATGTGGTGTGGTGTCATGTTATGTACTGTAATGTTATGTCATGCTCAGTTCTGTTTGGTCATGTGGTGCCTTATTGT